ACTTTTTATCGGACTTGTGCATTCAATCTTTTATGAACTTTAGTGAGTTGAAGTATTCAAATAGGAAATGAATAAATAAATCGTTATTGAGATATTTGTTACCCTGTAACACAAAATGGTACAAAAGTTTTTTTTTTCACATGAAACATTTCGCTATTGCATTACTTTCATTTTGCAGGTGTGTCTTTTGCTCACATAGTCTGGCCTTGAAAATAAAAAAATAACATCCAGGATTCTTTCTTGTAAAGTACTTCTCCTGTCTAAAACTATGGTACTTTCTGATTATTTGGAACCCCTATAAAAAGTCACAAATTTGTTGGCAATTTTCAAAAGGAACTGCAAATTTGTTGGCAACTAATTTTTTATAAAGCTAATGTGCAAGAATTGTTTTCAGAATAGTGGCTCACTAAGAATTTTATAAAAGAGCTATTAATCAATAAAATTTTAAAAAAAGAAACACTGGTACTAAAACTCTTAAAATTTTCAAACCGTTCTTCTGTTATTTTTTTGCGCTATTCTTCCCATTTACACAAAGATCAGTTTTCGAAAAAAATTGGAATTTCTTAAACGTTGCATTGCATGCAACTTTGCACATTGGCTAACTATAAATAGAGTGAATATATGTTCTAAATATTAGAAGCTTTCTTCAAACCAGTTTCCAACCTAACATTTTAACACTTTGATTGCAATTTTTCATATTACATTTTCATAAAATTCAGTCATTTAAGATGTACAGTTTCGCAGAATATAAGTTTTTGCATTTCCTGTTATTAGCAAAATACCATAGCTTTGGAAAAATGCATTACTTTCTTTTCTGTTATCCAGTAAACTCCATAGTCCCATTACAAGAAATTCATGGCATGAAAAACAAGCATACCCAATGCAGAAAGAAACGCTAATTGGAAAATGATGGTCGATTCTTAAAATTACAAATCTACATATACTTAAACATATGTGCACTACTTGCATACCTGGGATGTCGCATAAATATTTTTTTCATGAGATCGTGGCTTACTGCATAATAATTTTGGCAACATAGCCTTGTGAATTGCATATCTGTTGCAATCGACCATCATTTTCCAATTAGCGTTTCTTTCTGCATTGGGTATGCTTGTTTTTCATGCCATGAATTTCTTGTAATGGGACTATGGAGTTTACTGGATGACAGAAAAGAAAGTAATGCATTTTTCCAAAGCTAAGCATTTTGCTAATAACAGGAAACGGAAAAACTTATATTCTGCGAAACTGTACATCTTAAATGACTGAATTTTATGAAAATGTAATATGAAAAATTGCAATCAAAGTGTTAGAATGCAGGTTGGAAGTGAGTCAGTGATTTGTCAGTGAGGGTGTAGGGAAAATCAAAGTACAAAAGCTATTAAAAAACCACGGACATTTGTATAAGTAGCTAAATATATGAATTAAATTTCTGATACAATTCATGTAAAAATTTAATGGTACTTGCATGCTATCTCGTAAACCATGAAAGTTGGTTACCATGAAATGGATTGGAATCCCTCCAAAGTTGCGCTACTTGTTCCTGGGAAATTATGAAAGAACTGATGCCTCTTATTTAATAAACTATCACAAAGTATCATATATCAGTATTCAACCATGTTTCCTAAAAAGGCTTTCATCAGTATTTAATATTTTGTTAGATCCTCTGATTTTACGTAAGTACTGTTTAGTATAAACTATGAGTACAAACTTTCTTTAGATAATTTTTCCAATCCATTACTGTTTTATTGGCCATATTCAGCTGACCATTTCATGTCCATGGTAGAATCCCATCAATAATCCACAACTTATTGTTCTATCAAAAATAGGTCCCAAATTAAATTTTTTTAATGCAAAAATATATTACAATAACAATAAATTTATAGCCTTGTTCATAAAATGCAGAAGAGAGCTTATCGAGGATCAATTAAGGCTACATCAAATGAAAAGCAGTTATTACAAATGTGTTGGTATGCCACACGTATGCATAGCTGCCACATAATCACTTGCTTGGTCACAATTTCATGGCCATTGGAAAAGTATGTAAATGCCATTTAACATTTGCATTATTTTTCACGGGAGGAAAAAAATCTGCTTTGAACATTCAGATTGTTTTAAAGCTTTGAATTTTATTTTGCTATTACATTATATGTGAAAAATGGGAGCATAATAATGCCTTTAATATTATTTTGGAATGTAGGTTACAATAGTACTAGTCTCATTTTAAAATGTGTTATAAATGTAATATCTGTTGTATAAGAATTTATAAATGTAGACTTTATTATTGCAAATGTTTTATTTTTCAAATATTTCAAATATTCTTATTATCATTGAAGAGAAATTTCAAATATTTTCTCATATCATGTGAATTTTGTAAATTTTTTTATGAATATGTATTAGAATTATGTGCATGTACAGTATCAGTAAGATATTTCACAAATAATTTTGTAACTTGCAGTCTCTTAAAATTCTAGCAGTTGTGCCTCGTTTAATTTGAAATTTTTAATTTTTCTTATTGGAGTACTATAGTTCTAAAAAATGAAATTGAAAACAATGTTTGTTTTTCTTTCTTATATATGTTATTTCATTATAAATCCCTTTGCTTATATGAACCTTGGCAGAGAAGTTTTGATAACAAAATTCAATTTAGCAGTGTTACTGTTACATAGGTAGTAATGCTATACAGCAAATGCTTGTAAGTTAATATTAGTCAAATAGCATTTTTGAGAAGATTTTCTAATTTCGTTTTGATAAAATTGATAAATAAATGGTTATTTTCCAACGTATTTCAGTTTTTTGTAATTTAGTATAAATTTATTTTAAAATTATTTTTGGCAGTAATTTATGCAAAAATAATATTTAATCAAATTAAAATTCAGCGAAATCTTTCCATTTATTTCATTGTTCAAGTGCATTATAATTTGGAATGCTGGATAATGTTTATGAATAGTTGTTAAAATGTTATTTGATAAATAACTGCATGCACTTTGATTTTATTTTGCATTTTTTGGTTGTTTTCTTTATGAAAAATAATGATTCGAAAAGATAAATTGAACTGAAAATTATTTCATCTTGTATTTTTCTTTTTTTTTAAAAAAGTGGGAAAATATTTTACCTTTTTGTCAACATTTGTTTTCCATTTATATTTATAGATTAATCACTGTGAAAATCAAAACTTCTGGCTGCAGTTTTTTCTCACTAAGAATTCTGGAATAGATGTAGCTGTTTTCTTTGACATTTACTTTGTAAATTAATGATTTGGAAAACTTATAACTGTTGTTTTACTATTAGTTTGCTACTTCAATCATTTACAATTGGAAGAAAAATTTCATGATCATTTCTTCATCTTTGTGAAACGGAAGATGTATTTCATCTTAAGATGGGACACTTGTAAAGCCTGTTTCATTTTAAAAATGAATTTTTAGGCATTTATCATTTCATGTATATGTTTGATTTATTCCTGCTACGTTAACATTCAACGCCATTAATAAGACTTCTATGTCATTTTATAAAGAGCACTAAGCAAAAATGTGTTATACATCATGTAATCTTAAGCAGTCTTCATGTGCTAATGGATGTAATATTGGAGACCATTATAAACAGATTTCGGAATGGTTAGAGAAACGACCCCCCCCCCCCCCGCAGAGCAGCATGAAATTGATAAACAGATTTCGGAATGGTTAGAGAAACAAAGGATGTGCCTTTATCCATATTTTGTAGCAATTCCACTTTTTGTTTGATGGACATCGAAACATGCTTTCGCTTTGTAGATCCTTTGGCAGCTCCAGAATCGGAAACTCTTTTTGACATAATCGAAAGTTCAAGCTTACTTTTTATAAAATTGCTCTAACAGTCTGCAAAAAATAATCAGCCGGATCCAATTAGAAGATTAAGGAACAACGCAATTTGCAACATTAACTGAAATAGGTAATTAGATAATTTTAGCCTAGCTTATACTGTTCGTTATGCATTAAACGCACATGCGTAAACATTTTATGCGCATAACAAACTTTCTGCACATGCAATCTGGACGTCCATAATCTAGAATGATCTATAATCCGGACCTCAAAGCTACAAACTTACGCATGCGCAGAAAGTTTGTAGCTTTGAGGTCCGGATTATAGATCATTCTAGATTATGGACGTCCAGATTAAAGACTTTATACTGTAGATGTTATGTACATATTTCAGGCTTAATATCCTCCCCCCTCCAAAATTGCAAGTACGCATGCGCAGAAAGTTTGTAGCTTTGAGGTCCGGATTATAGATCATTCTAGATTATGGACGTCCAGATTAAAGACTTTATACTGTAGATGTTATGTACATATTTCAGGCTTAATATCCTCCCCCCTCCAAAATTGCAAGTATCCCAATTTTCATAGAATGTAATTGCACGTAGTAATTACACATGGAAAATGTATAATAATATGTAATGGAAATATAATTTTAATAACAGATGGTCTGAGTGTTAAAATAAGAGCTGAGAGAAGTCACAGATATAATTTTGAATCTGATTGCCAATCAATACATGTTAGAAATTAAACTTCCTTCATTGATCTGCTGAGGTTAAAAATGCATTTCATTGTCAAAAGGTGCTTGTAGATTGGCAGTGTATAGGTGGTGCAGCAAAAGTACTTTCCTAGAGAATTGATGATATTCAAATTTATTAAATTTATTTGTTAAATAAGTTTTATAAAATTAAAATACATTTAAATTTGTGTTATCAAAGCATTTGTATTTAGAAGCAAATTGCTTGTGTTAAATTTGTTTGATTTTATTGCTCAAGCTACCTTTTTCCTTCCATAACTTCACTATAAATTAATAGTTGAAGTTTGAAATTAAATTGTGTTAAATTATTAAGGTTCGTGTAGTTTTAATTTTACATAGTTTGTATAAAAAGCAACTTGCCTCCTCCTGTTATCTCTATAGTGCTATAAATTCTATAGTTGCAATTGATATGATGTTTAACCTACTGCTTGCTTTATGATGTGTGCTATATTTTAGTGAGAGACAGAATACGAACAAAATATGAAAGGGACATTTTGGTTGATGTTCATCATCCTTTTATTGTCAAATTACATTATGGTAAGTTGATTTTTTATAATTTAATTATTGGAATACATTGTACTGTCAATAGATCTTTGTTATGCCAGACAGTTTTAAAGTGGAGTATTACAGATGTAGATTGAGTATATTGAAAGCTCATGCCACACAAATAAAGAACCTCAATAGTTTTACATATATATGAATTTTTGAAGCAATTGAGCTGAGATTTAAAAAATGCTTATATAGTTTAAAAAATATCAATTTTTACTTATGCTGAATACAAGTCATTTTTAATATACTTTTCCTAACCACTGTTTATTGAAGCCTAGTAATCAGCATTTGCATATCAGATATCTAATGATAGATTTTTCATTAATTGATCTGTGTCTATGAATATTCACATATTTCATTTTGCATTAAAAATTTATTTATTATTCCATGAGGAAGCTATGCTTGCTTGTAGAGATATTAGTTGTTTATTGGTAACTAAAAATTAATATATAATATAAAGGAAAACTGTTACTTTAATTTAGCAATAGTCCTTTTAATTCTTCATTTTAATCTGGCTATGTCACTGCCTGTCTTAAAACTGCTAGTATATGAATCTAAAGTACATCATTTGAAAATTAATCCACATCATACCATTAGAGTAGCATTATGGTTATTCCTTCCCCTAGCCACAGTTCAAAATTTAAACAAAGAAACTGACACTATTAATATCTCTTTGTTAAAATACACATTTACTTTCCTGCCTTCCTCTGACTGTGCCAGCATCTGCTTTGTCCATTATTTAAAGATATAAATAGCTGTATAAAATTGTGGAATGCTTAGTACACCCATAAGGATGATATGGGAACATGTTTATGCTTATGAAGAACAAAACTGAAATGGTGAATAAAATTGTGAATTAACAGCCATGTCTGAAAGTTTTACTTCTTCATTATATCATCTTACATATCAATGCAGTTATCTTCAAATCTTCAAATTATCTACAGAATATACAAAAAAAAAAAAAAAAAAAAAAAAAAACCAAGCACCAAGAAGGACTTTTGCGATTGTGATAAAATTTGGTATGCAAAAACATCTTGATCGAGCATGCAAATGACAAAGGTTCAAGGCAAATGAACAGAAATTGCAATTATAGCGCGCATTTCTAGTGCACAATTCACAAAGTATAAAACCAGAAACAGAGGCGGAAATTTTATCTTTTTTTTTTGGTTGCTGCCATTATAATTCTGTAAAGAAGCAACTAAAGGTGCCATTACGATGATATCAAAGACCTTACAGACAACTAAACAACAAATGTGATTGCATTGTAGGGATGCGGGAACCTGGGTGGTCATACCAAGCAATAGGCCGCCATCTGCAGTGTACAGATACTGCTGTGAAAAGATGTTGGCAGCAATGGTTGCTACAAGGAAATTGCTGAGTGAAATGAAGGCTGTGGAAGGCCAAAGATCACAAATGCAAGGACGAGATAAGATGATTGTTTGCCAAGCCTGAATGCCCCAACAGAATTATTGTCGACTATTCAACGTACTACAGCCACGCCTATACCTCCCGTGGTACCGTCCACCATCTCACAGCGCTTGTTGTGAGGTGGGTTTACGCTCACAGAAGCCTTTAAGACATTGGCCTTTGACCCCACAACATCGATGGAGTTGTCTGGAGTGCTGTCGCAGCCGATAATCATGGCTGCCATCGGACTGGCATCGTATAGTGTTCAGCGATGAATTCCGCTTCACTCTTGAATTAGATGACCACTGTGTTCGTATCTGGAGAGGACAGGGCCAGCGCTTCCAATCAGCCTTTGTTTTACAAAGACATACAGCCATAACTCCTGGTGTGATGGTGTGGGGTGCTATTTCTTATGACACCAGGTCATCTTTAGTCATCCTTCGTACATCTTTAACAGCTCAACGATATGTTGATACTATCCTGTGGCCGTTTGCATTACCCTTCATGGCACGTCATCATGGGGCCATTTCCCAACAAAATAATGCCAGGTTACATACCTCTAGACTGTCTCCGTGCTGTTGATACTCTTCCTTGGCCAGCAAGGTCACCAGACCTTTCACCAATCAAGCATGTCTGGGGGCATGGTAGGCCACTAAATTCAGGCACCACAAAATATCACAGATCTAGAGTGGCAACTGATGAATGTCTGGCAGAATGTGTCACAGGATGACATTAGGAACCTCTACCCTCCTTGCCTCGATGAATTCGACCGACTGCTGATTTGAACACTTAATGGGTGATTGTGAGCCATGGACAGGTACTATGACCTTGATATTTTAATGATTTTATTATCTGTGTGTGAGCTATACGCATATTCAATTTCATCAAAAACAACCACTTCCTTTACGGTGCTTGATTTTTTTTTTTTTTTTTTGCAAAAGAGTGTATTTTATATAGTATATGAACTAAGTCCTGCTAAGGGTGTGTGTGCAATATGTATGTGCATATGTATACATACATATGCATGTATTTATATCCTTGATAATTTTTTTGTAGAATTCTTTTATGTCGGATGGTGTACACTGCGTTAAAAAAGGGGGGGGGCAGTTCTATATCTCCTGTTCAATCGGGCCGATTGACGAAATTCCAATTGCATTTTTTATGTCTCGAAAGTGCAACTTAGGCTATACACTACAAACATCTTTGCTCAGCAGTGTCTGTACGTTGCAGGTGGCAGCCTATTGCTGTGTATGACCATCCAGCTTCATGCAACCATGTTCGAAGTCATTTAGTTGTATGTAAGGTCTTTGATACTGTTGTAATGGCATCCTTAGTTGCTTCTTTACGGAATTACAATAGCAGCAACAAAAGAAGATAAATTTTCCGCCTCTGTTACTAGTTTTATACTTTGCGAATTGTGCACTAGAAATGCACGTTGTAATGGCAATTCCTGTTCATTTGCCTTGGGACTTTTATCATTTGCATGTTCGACCAAGATGTTTTTGCATACCAAATTTCGTCATGATCACAAAAGTTCTTCTTAGTGCTTCTTAGTGCTTGCTCTTCGCATCATCTTCTTAGTGATTTTTTTTGAAAAAGAGTATATATTAGATTTTTATACAGCATTATTCTAATATACATATTTTGACACAAAATCGGACTTTTTCTAAAGTGACATACAATTTTCTTCCATATTTTGATTCTACGACTCAATTTATGCCAGACTGCCAAGTTTTGTAAAAATTTGCACAATGTAGTTTTTAAAAAATTAGCTCTCACAATTTTAGCTCCTCGATGTTAATTGAATTTGGTATATATTTATTAATATCTCTTTTATTTATTAAACTTTTTTTGATTCTTCCTTTCACATTTCAAAATTTAGGTTCATTCCAAATAAAATTCACCCATTTTTATGATTTATTTTAAAAATTTGTATTTTTAAATAATTTTCGTAAATTTTTCAAAAAAGGTTTGAATTATTACCTATAACATCTTTACCATCATCTTAAAGTAGGAGTATTTCTAAGCGTAACTGCAAAAATTAGAGTGTTTTTTTAAAAATTTTGTAAGATGTATACGAATTTACATATTGATGCGTTTTGAAATTTGGCATCTTTTTTTTAAGCGAGAATAATGCCAAATGTGGTTTATGGAATTTTGTTACAGCTATTTTTAACCTGAAATTTCAAATAAATGTTTACGAAGAATTAATAATTTTTTTCCCTTAATGATGCATAATATTTATTAATACTATATGAAAAACTATTTTTTAAAATTATAGATGATATTATTCAAATTTTTCTTATTTTTTTTTTTAATTTCTTTCTTTCTGACATTTTAAAAAAATATTTGTAAGAGTACATTTTTACCTTCACTGTGTTATCAGCTGCTACTTTACTTTAACTTCATTTAAGTTGAATTGTCTAAAATTGAGAAAGTTTGTTTGATGTTTATTTTCACAGAGTTTTTAAGCAAATGAGGCATTGACAGTTTGGGTCATGTCTCAGCTGTGAAAAAATATAAATTTTTACTCTAATCCTCTTTTTAAGTAGTAATTTTCTCTTGTGTTGTAGATTATATAAAAAACATGTTCTTTAATATAGAAGTTCCTAGGCTTAAAAAATGTAATTTAGATTAATTCCATCGGATATAAGAATCGGGTCACTTGGTGATACAGGATACGTGCTGCTAGTCTTCCTCATTCAACAAAAATCTTTTAATTCAAATATTTATCCTTTGGACTTTGCTTTAAACTTTATTTATTGTTAAAATGTCTAGAAAATGAAAAACTGTCTTCATCTCAAACACATTTGATGCAACTGATATTTTAAAAAAAATTTGACAAGGATGCAAAATTTATGGAAGTGTAACAATGTAAAAAATCTTAATTTTCTTGTGTCAGCACTGAAAACAAATGTAGAATGCAAGAAGGAAATTAGGGGGGATAAAGCAAGAATTTGAAGGGGAATCTACTTCAAGGAAGTTGGGTGTTGAAAGAGAAACTGGTTTTCGACTATATGGTTGTATAAATTTAATTTACTTCACAGAACATCATATCATATCATAAACAAGCATCCCATGATTTCTCAGTCAAATTATTTGAAGATCCAGTAATTTATCCAATGACGTATATGGATATCATCTAAAGACATTTTCCCTCTTGATGAAACCAATCTTTCCTTTCATCTCATGCCTTCAAAATGCCTAGCCTCTAAAGACTGATAAAAGCTCTGACCAAATATTGATGAAATGGATTGACTTGAATTGTTAAGTTACGGCAGAACAGGGTTATCTGCCTAAAAGAAGGGATGCCTTCGTGAAGAACTTTCTAAGGGAAACCAGCTCGTATACACATGAGAAAAACCACAAAAATGCCTGTGCAACCAGCCTGTTCACTGGGATTCGAACCCCAGAGCAAACTACCAGTTTTCAGCGACTTTACCGCTCGCCTGTTTTGGAGCCCTTATGAAATGAAAGGCAATAATTTTATTTAAAATTAATGTCAGAAATACCAAGATGTTTAAAAAAGTTGGATGCTTTTTAATATACTTGCAGAATTCCTGAAGAAAAAAAGGAAGCAT